CAGCTGATCACAACGGTTACGCTCTGCGGTCACGAAGTACACCACTAGCCCCCCCCCCGGACGTTCGCGATACAGAGGGCTTCATCAAATAACTTTGAGTGGAGCCAGAAGTTGGAGTACCAAACACTGACTCCAGGTACTCATCTGAGTGCCTTACTGAGAAAGTTATGTGCACCCCTGAATATAAGGCATTATGTGATGCAGAATAATAGAACAAGCTTAGTCTAAACAAACAATCTGGCTTGATTTGAAGAGAAACATCTTTCATTCTCAAATGTGCAATCTGTCATCTGTGAATTTTGCAATTAAGAACATAACAAGAGAATGACAGTAAGAATAAAAACTGGATCGTTTCGCTGCTCTTAGCTCAAGAAATACTGCATTCAAGTTCAAACGTATGTTAGGTCTCAGAAGTGCAATACTATCATTTTCCCAAAATGGAGGCTGATAAATGTTGCAGCTGTAGGTGAGGAGAAGTTAACTCGCTGAGGTTTCTCTGCCGAGGGATCACAGACGTTTCTTCATCGAGCAGATATTTCTGCAGCCACAGACCTCGGTTTTGTGTCAGCTCCAATGTCATGGCGGATTTGAGAGTGTGCTCCTGCCCTCCTCGAGCGCATTAGCATTTCTCTTTCTCCCTCACTCTTTTTCCTCCGCAGTCTTCCCTCTGATGTCACGCCGAAGCTCAGACATGTTAACACGAACCTTCATGCTAACACAGTTCAGTCTGTCACTGGAGAATATTCTTTTACCTGCTGTCGGGGCGCAGACTTTTTCATTTTCACTGTCTCCGTTTACAATAGATCAGAGGCCTTTGCTGCACTGAACTCCTGTATACATTACTAATGAACCTCTGGATTGTTATACAGTCGTGTGTGTGTGTGTGTGTGTGTGTGTGTGTGTGTGTGTGTGTGTGTGTGTGTGTGTGTGTGTGTGGTGGTGTGTGTGTGTGTGGTGTGTGTGTGGTGTGTGTGTGTGTGTGTGTGTTGTGTGTGGGTGTGTGGTGTTGTTGTTGTCTGTGTGGTGTGTTGTGTGCTGTGTGGTGTGTTGCTGTGTGATGTGTGTGTGTGTGTGAGAGCGCGCAGCACCATCATGAAGGGTTCTTTGGCCCGGGCCTGCTCTTAATTGATAGGGGCTGCTGGTATTTACTTACATTCTCAGGGTGGATTAAATCTCAAAGGGGAGGAGTTGGAAGTTGTTTTTCTCCTGGCTTTGTTTTAATATGTGTGTGTGTATGTATATATATATACATATGTGTGTGTTTTGTCCTCCCATGTGGTTCTGCATTCGTCCTTCCTCCATGACGGGAACTGTCGGATCCTTTAAAGCTGCATGACATCGAGGCACCACAGAGCACCAAATCGAATCAGAACCTGCAGTGTATGTGCTGTGCTGCCCTGCTGGCTTAAGTGAATGTGTTTGTGTGTATATAGGAACACAGACTTATTTACTGCACACAGTCAATAGTAAATAGCATTATCTCTGTGGCCAGTTTTTCATTTTGTCCAGCGCGTTTAATATTAAGTTCAGGGCCTGCTCTGGTCACAGAGAAGCTCGCTCTGCTCCAGTGTCTCACTACCTAGCCGACGGCTTGATGGAGTAACGGGTATAATGACTCAAATATTGACTGATTGCAGGTTACAGATGAAAAAAAACAATCAGACAAGATTGACATTCTGGTAGAACAAGAACATTTGATCCAGGGATGCACCGATTGTGGTAAAAGTCGTAATAGGTTTAACTTTGTAACCGTTGCATGAGGGTGCTGCATTTGTCAGGCACTGATGTTGTCTGTTAACATTTCAGAATTAAGATTTAGAGGACTGTTTTCTTCCCCTCCGCTTCTTAGTCACCAACTTTTGCAAGCCAGAAATACTCTGAAAGTATGCAGCTGCTGTTTTATGTAAATCAGTGAGTTTGACTGCTTTGTGGCAACATTGGATTTACATGACTTCTGCAATGGGATGAAGCACAGATAAGTTTCAGGCATTTCCTTTAGCACATCGGCCAAAAACATTCACACCTGGTTGATTTTTCGGCTCTAAACACCTTCCAAGTTAATTTGAAAAACATTGGCTATAAGTCAGATTATAAAACGGACAAGTAAAATCAAGCAATCTGATTGGTTCTTAGCCGTGATATACTGAGCGTATACCACGGGTAGAATTGTAAGTTACTTTTCACAACAAGTCAGTATCCCTCCGCGTCTGAGAAAAACAGTATACCGTTGGGCTGAAAAGCAAACTTTATGCAGTTTGCTTTTCATACTGGAACAAGAAAGCAGCGGAGAAGTAACGGGGCAGAAAGCCTCCTTTTTACGCAGCGGTCCAGACATAGACATCAAACGGCAAAAGATATTCAGTGTGCAGTTCCTTTGGCATTAGGGCAGGGGTATCTAGATACTTTTGAAGGTTTAACATAATGAATTGTGCTACTTTTAAAGCAAGCAACGATGTTTTCAAATCTGTAATCAAAGAGGTCCGCAAAAACGCTATCGACCAATCAGATTGCTTGATTTGACTTGTCAGTTTTATAAATATATTTAAATTTCTTCCGTTACGAAACAAACTTACAAAGCATAAAATGGAAACATTTAAGTCTAATATGTTCGCTTGCTGTTAGTGTTGTTGCATAGCAACCACCTTGCACTATGTTTTGTGCAGAAGGCAACGGAGGCACTATTTTATTTTGAACATCATTATTTACTGATAAAAACTATTTAAATTAGAGTATGTATTTTTCTTTCATATTGCCACACTTGGTAACCGTTTTATAAAAGCAATAGCTCACTTCAGGCCGTGATATATGCTCATTATATCACAGCTAATGGGGTTGTCGACCCTCCGCTTCGCGTCGGGCCGAACCACGCCCCTTAGCTGTGATATAATGAGCATATACCACGGCCTGTCGTGAGCTATTGCTTAAATATACAGATGGGTTACAAAATCAATAACTGGATAATACATTTCCCAAACCTCTAATATTTACTATGGCCCTCACAGACACCAGATCTCAACACATGGAGGTTTTTAAACGGTGCTTTCCAACACAATCATAATGACACATGTCACCTAATGTTGTTTTTAAATGTGTACGTCATTGAAAGGTGCATTACAGACAGTGACCAGCCTGTTCACCATAAACCCGGCCAGGCAGATGGCTGTTCAACTCACAAACAGACCAGCAGCAGATGTCAGACTGTCTGTAAACCTTTTCCATGTCTAGTATTCTTCTCAACATGCCACAGAAATGTAAAAACAGGAAGATTGCTTCCCAAATGAGACTTCCTCAAATGCAATGTGGCCTTCTCTCCCAAGTAGAATTCTCTTTTTGCGAAGGTGCCCATTTTCTCTATCTCTGTTAATGACGTCCTCTCATTCTGAAACCTTTTGATTTCATCTTCTTTCTGCAGCTGTTTTCATGCCATGTTCGCGCACACATGTGAGTTAACTATGTGGGTGTGTGTGGTGCTTGTCAGGTTGGAGATTGCAGTGTTGATTATGTGTCTGATGTTTTCGACGGAGTGACATCTCTCCTAATGAAATAATGGCCTAGTGGCAGAGTGCTGGAGGATTGCACATTGCAGACTTCAATTACAGACAAGATGATTTCCCCCCCTCTTTCATTTCAGTCAGAAGAGTACAGGTTTTTCTTCCTTTTTAACAGACGTGCTTACATCGAACAAAAAGGCTGAATAAAAAGCTTTTTTTTTTCAGCCAGACTTGGGCCTAAGTGTTTTTCTTCAGATAATGGGTAGAAAGGACATGGCATGCCTTAATTCACTGTCTCTTTAGCCAATCTGATGCCACAAAACAGCCATTGCCCTCTTTGTGTGCACAAATCAACCCCGAACGCTGGTTGTTTTTTTCAGCTCGAACTACACATCTTTTTACCATCTTTTCTTTGAGATGCATTTTTGCTCTGCTGCATGCGTTATTCTGTGAACCATGTAATTTATTTTGCACAACAAATGATCTTTTTTTTAAGGTTCCAGTTTTCAGCTGTGCCCCTTCTGCTAGATGGTATGACATTTGCATACATTTCCTAAAAATATGCTTCTGGATCTGCTACATCTATTTAAAATATCACAAAGAGGAAAAAGGGCACGTCCTTTGAATTGCAGCTCTTTTATACAGAGAATAATCTTCACAATTATTAAATAAAAACAAGGGCAGAAGTGAAAAATGTTATCATTCGCAGTTTGCTTTATGTGCTTTGGATGCTTAGTGCTTACTGAGTTGTGTACCTTTTTTTAAAATGGTGAATTGAGAATTTGTAGGTTATAATAACATACACAACAACAACACATATGGAAAGCATTATAAGAAGCATGTGTGTGTGATAAGAAGCTTGCTTAATGCATTTTTTATAGACCATAACATATCAGCAACATCAAGGACTGAACAACCAACTGTCAAAAAAATGATGTGCTGTTCCTGCATTTGAGCAATTTGTATGTATTGTCATTAATGAAATGTAGGTTGAGTAGAGAAATAAATGATACATTTGAACAATTCATTCAAAAGGAGAACACCATTATTTCAGTTTATTCTGTCTACATTTTCACGGAAAATGTTTGTTTCCTTTAGATATCCACATCACTCAAATATGGTTGTGTGATTGACAGATAAGAGCATACATAATATGGTAATAATACGAAAGCTGTTACTTCAACACAATAAAAGAGGTGTGTACACCATCAACTCACAAATAATCTTAAAAGAGTGCAAAACAAAATGAATTGAGTTCATCGAGTTGCTGAGATTACTGATATTACATTTCCTTTGCGAGCAGGGGAATGCTGAAACAAAGTTCCTGTTCTGGACTGGATCCTTGCAAAAAACACCATATATTTTAACTTTGAGTAACTTCAACAGGCAACGACAAAGAACCAATTTGCCCAGAGTCCTAGGCGCTTCAACTCCTCAGACGAAAATGTGACATGTTATCAAATCAAAGTTTAGGGCTCATTGTCTCTCTGTGTCTCTGTCTTTCTGCAGGGTGGACCCCATTCCTTATGACACTCCCAAGCCAACAGGACACACCAGGTTTGTGTGTGTGTCTGATACACACTCGCGAACAGACGGCATCCAGATGCCCTACGGCGACGTGCTGCTGCACACGGGTGACTTCACCGAGCTGGGCCTGCCCTCCGAGGTTAAGAAGTTCAACGACTGGCTAGGTATTAAGCTGCTTAACACACACATCCGTCTGCACGCACGCATACTTCTCGTGCACACACAGAGCTGACACGCACAACTTCTCCGTGTAGGGAGGGGGCACGAGACATGTTGCACGCATAACTAGTAACTGGACCACACAGTGACAACCCCGCCACTCCCCTCTTGACCCCACAACTGCTGTGCTAAAGTGTCCAGTTTAACCCTTCTGACCTAACACCCTGCCTCAGTTAACCTTTGACCTCTCCCTGTGGCACCATGCTGTGGGTGGGAGTGCTGGCCCTGTGTGTGTGTAGACCTTAGAGGCGAGAGAAGAAGCATGTGTGTCCCTCTGTAGTCATGTTTCACACAAACATACTGACCGACAGTCCCTCTCACTAAGTGCATAAATCAATAAGAGCCACCCACCACACCAACTGTAACGTTAAAAGACATTTGAGCTATTTAGTATATATTTCGATAGTTTTTATTTATATCAGCCCTTAGCAGGATTGGATACATTTTGGGGAAGAGTACATGAGTTGTGAATGTTTCAACTCAAAAGTAAAATGTTGCACCTCTCCATCAGCTTTCATGCTCTCATGGAGACCAGAATAAAGAGGACACACAAGAGGACATTACAAGTAGGGCTGGAGATCCTTGTGAGTTTTGACATAAGTCAGAAGGTTAGCTATTGAAAAAAACACACAAACACTCTTATCAAACAAAATCGGTGTTCATTAAGCCAGCAAGTCACATTTGATGTCGCTCATTGGCTCAAAGGGGAGAATAAACATCCAAAGCAATCCTGGACACACCAGAGTTGTCCCTGCTATTAATCGTCCAGTCGTACTGGTTGAGTATTTTTGCAACCCTTTTTAACGTAAAAACAACGTGGAGACTCAGGGGGAAGCCTGCACACCTCTGCGGTTTTCACAAAACAGTGAATGGAATGTCTAAAATGAGGATAAGAAGAGGGAAACACAACATGAAACAGGAAGCGGTTGAATCTTAAAAATAGCATAGATGGAAGTGAAGCTCTGAGATTGGTTTCAGCCTTCACCTCAAAATCCAGGATCAGGCAGTGACTCATGAAAATGCTTCTCTAACCCGTATTTTTATTTATATCTCACTGAATAATTACAACAAAAGTTCAGAGCGTTTTTTGAAAGAGTCTGACGTATTTTCACAGGTTCAAACTAAAAGTAAACTCCTCAGTTTAAAGTGGCACTGCTTTCAACATCTATGTTTTCAGTATCACACCCTGCTGAGTTTAAAGGTAGCTGTCAAAGTTCGGCCTCTCAACAGTCGACAGCGGCTGCAGTCAGTCTGGATTCACAGCAGTTGCACTGGATACCAACGCTGACCCAGTTTTCACAGCAAAAACAGCCGTCTGTAGAGACTTCTCAAACCTCCTCTGCAGCATATTCCACTTCTCTGCTGTCCCTCAGTATGCTCTGCATGTTCAAACAGTCACATCTTTAACAGAACTTACCTGAAACATAGCTTACATCTCAATCCTCACGCACTGACTTTCACACTCACAGCCTCCTCCTATTCTTCTTCTTTGCTGTTATATACATTTGAGGCTGTTTTCACAATAGTGCAGAAACATTGGAAAGCTCCATTTATATAAGAGTTCCATATATACCATTGTTTTGGGGATTGTTGTCGAGACATGGTTACATTTCTTCTAACCTCCTTATGTATAAAGTTGCTTCAACCTTTTATGTTCCGGTGTAGTGGGCGTTGGACGCCGTACCCCCACTTATTTGAAGCGTGATATTTTTTTTTATAGTCTAATAAATATAAAATCATTGCCAGTGTTATCAGTTGCAAGTCTGTATTTATTGTAATAATGACGAAAACATAATACATTTCACAGTAATTATAATAAAAACGTAGCTTGTGTGTGTGTGTGTGTGTGTGTGTGTGTGTGTGTGTGTGTGTGTGTGTGTGTGTGTGTGTGTGTGTGTGTGTGTGTGTGTGTGCACTGTGTGTGTGAGCACTGTGTGTGAGCACTGTGTGTGTGTGTGTGTGAGCACTGTGTGTGTGTGAGCACTGTGTGGTGTGTGTGTGTGTGTGTGAGCACTGTGTGTGTGTGTGTGTGTGTGTGTGTGTGTGTGAGCACATATGTTGTGTGGAGCATGTGTGCACTGTTGTGGTGTGTGAGCACTGTGGTGTTGTGTGTGTGGTTGTGTGTAGCACTGTGTGTTGTTGTGTGTGTGCATGTGTATGTGTGGTGACACAGGTGTCCCGTTAGTGCGGGACCTGCACACACAGCATTTTTATTAATTTGTCCCGATTGTGTCCCACACAAATTGAGACTACGAGGTCCCGCATATTGGTGGACAGTCGCGCAGAAAGGTCGGAGTTCGGTTCGCTGAACGTCGGCACCCGCCCTTATTATTATTATTTATATTGGTCTAAAACGGCGATCATGTTAAGTTGCGCTGACATGCGACACAGAGGTCTCCCCCCCCCCCCGTTGACAAGTTCACGAGCGCGTCAATAGTGGTCTTCCGTCCACCCAGTAAAACAATCCCACTTCCACACTGGTTGTATCCACTCTGTAGGGAGTTTTGCTTAAGCTCAGTGGTGCAAAAGGCCACCTGATGTGAATTGAAGAGCCAATACAGTCAGAAAAAAACCATGTTTTAAAAGCTTGACCCTGCCAAAAATTAGTTTATTCCAAACTTTATCTGAAAGGCTTAAAGTCATTTTGAAACTGAGAACTTTTGTTACTTTTAAAACCAAAACAAAACAAAAAACTGCTGCATAATATTACAGGTTTGCAGTGTATTTAACAAACATTGACAAAAATCTGCTTCCCTTTTACTTTTTTCTAGACATAACCTCTCATAAAGTGTACCCATATGACCAGGTGCTGTACCCTAATTCCCCCTGACACACACATTTTGCACACACACTACTTGTTTCTGCTTTGTCACTGCCAACACAGCTCATGGCAATCACCAGGAGGACACACTGGTCAGCTTTTCTATCAAACTCGTTCATCCATCAACACAGACAGCTACGTAAAGTGTGTGTGTGTGTGTTTTGTACTTTGTTAAGCCTTGGTGAAAACAGATATTGGCCCCTAATGGAGAATCGATGTAGGGCAAAGTGGAAAAGGGCTGTAGTGTATTTTGGAGCGCACTGCCTGGTTTGTGAAGTGGGGTCAGAGGATGGAAAATTTACCACAAACTGTTCCTGCCACTTAAATGAGTCAAAAGGTTAGACCCTCCAGAAAAACGCGGGCTAAATTTCCTTTATTAATGCGGGCTAAAATCCTTGATTATGCGGGCTAAATTCGCAAAGTCCTTGATTATGCGATTAAACATGCAGGGTTTTTATGTGATTTTATGCGGTGAAATTGCGGGAAGTTGTGAAATATGCGGAAAGTTGCTAAATATGCGGGGAAAAGAATAACAATTTTTTTAAATAATTACTAATAGTTTATTTTATTTGTTAAAAGTACAATTGGGCTATTTTAATCTCACACACACACACACACACACACACACACACACACACACACACACACTTCTCCGCCTCATTCTGTTTTCATTTACTCGTTCGTTATCTGACCAGCTTCAATCTTGTAGGCTTCTCACCTCGTTTCTTGTAGCCCTCGAAAAGATTTTGGAGGTTGATGCCTCGGTGAACGTGAGTTGTTTGGCTTTCTTGTCCGCAGCAGCAGAAAGCATTTTCGAATGTTTGAATGAATCAAAGTGGGTCGCCACCGTCGATTTTCTCTTATGCTCCAACCTATATACAGTCTATGGCTCCAACACACAGTTGCACGGGGTGCAGAATAGTTTCCCCCCACTTTTTGCCCGGTCTTTAGTAGAAATGTTCGTCTGTAAATGAGATGGATTAGATTTTTTCATCTTGGTGTTTTCTCTATCGTATGAGCTCCACACGTTCACTCTATACAGTGTTGTTTACATTCTGTGATAAGCGAGCTGATGACGTCACGTCAAGACGACTCAACTTTTTTTTTTCTCAACTTTGTGTGGAAAAATGCGGGGATTATGCGGCCTTTTGATAAATATGCGGCCTTTTAAAAATCTGCGCCATTTTGCTGATTATGCGGTAAATTCTGCGATCGCAGAATCGCGTTTTTCTGGAGGGTCTAAAATGATAAGTTATAAATCTGAGTTATAAGGTTATGAAAATTATTATAATATATTAAGTCCTATAATCAGAATAAAGATGGAATTTCATAATAAAAACTAATAATATAACGAGAACAGTTGGGATCAAGTGCAGCTGCTGTGGCTCATACTGGCACAAATCATACTTTACCGTTTGTTTTTGTCATCTATAGTGAATGTTGGCATTAAAACACTACATTCTAATTATTAAGAAATTATGGACTTTTTCATTTAAATATTTGCTTTCCTAAAAAATATTTGCCTCAATAATGTTGTATTATGTAGTTCAAGCTGCTTAGAGGTAGTGTTATGAAGTTAAACATATATATCTTATATAACTGTGAAAACATTCACTTGATTTCAAAAGCTTCCCGCCAAAAACCGAATTTTACAAGATCACATTTGAACACATCATGATAACAGTATAATTTACCTTTACCCTGTGCAGATTTTTACTGAATAGAGCTTGAAAGCATCATAATGCAACTTCAGTTGTTAACTACGTGGTGCCCACCGGCTACAGAGCGTTAACCTTCACTAGATCTTCCTCTGATTTCAAAACACATGTGTTGTTCACAATGTATCATCCACACAATAATCTACAAAATCTAAACAGATTCTAAATGTAAAGCTGGATGAGGTTGTTAATGTAGATTAAAAGCTGTAGACTGAGCAGTGTGTCAGTGGCCCTCCCCTCCCTCTCGGCCTCCTTTGTCTGCTCCTGGAGGAAGTCTGTGGGGGCCGTCGCCTCCTGTTTGGCTCCGTGAAGTAGATGGTAGGAGATCGATGCAGAGGAACGAGCTTTCCCTGACCCAGCCTGTGTGATGGCAGAGCAGCGGCTCTGATCTGCGGCTTTAAGCTGCTCCCAGAGGCTCAGATGTGTACGTGTGTAGATGTACCGAGGTTAAATATGTGTGTTGAACGGTGATGTCTAACAGAGAGATATGTGGTTCCCTTCCTGCGCTTGTGGTTTGAGATTGTTTCTGCAATTCTTCAAACATTTGTTTAAAGAGTCAATCATTTGAAATAAATATTTGTGATTATCACATCCCCATTAGAGCGCCATAATTATATATATTGACATTTATATAGTGGATACAATTATCACGTGACCTCAGTTATTAAATTGAAACTAGAATCTTTTCCATTTCTGATCTTTTGACTTATGAAAGTTTACATTTCCAGAGGTTTGAGAAAAAGTGATTTTTTTTTCTTAGTTTTTTCTTTCATACCTTTTGTGGGCGAGGGATAGGAAATCAATCTGTGTGTATCACTCCAGCAGCCCTCTGTAAGATGTATCACGGTGGCAATAAAAAGCAGTAGAGATTCCCAGTAGAGTGATGGGGATGGAGTTGTTTGATGGTAATTATGTTTCCCCCCATATTTTCCCTGCCTGCTGGTGGGGAGGATGATTCGCTTGCTGTTGTGTGTGTGCGTGTGTGTGTCTGTATGTGTGTATTAATGGCTGTGTGATCCAGTTAGAGTGCTGGGGGACTGAGAGACGGGCTCTCATATAAGGTTAGACTGGAATTTATGATCCTGAGACGCGACAAGAGCTAATTTAGAGGAGCGGGAATGAAACCTTGTAGACCGGGGAACCATGGATTCTTTCATTTTCACACACACACACACACACACACACACACACACACACACACACACACACACACACACACACACACACACTAGATGGAAGCAGGGGGAAAGTTTTAATATATCTGCATAGAGCCAGCATATCCTGATTGCATTTATATTCTATTCAGTTTCTTTTATCTTTATTTTCAATTGCGAACTTGACCGCTGCAGAATTGAGCAGTTCATGAGTTTACATCTTTTCTCTCACTTTCTGGCATGACTCAAAAAGCTTTTTTATTCAACATTATATTGGATTCTTTATTCAACATATTATTCAATATGCCCTCCTGGCATGCATCATAACCTTTTGCTATCACTAGGCAGAGCAATACGTTACAGAGCGAAAGGGGATATCTAATGTCTCTGAGACTAATACTTTCCTGTCAGTTAAACTCCATTTGTAGGAGGATAGGGACATCTATTCTGCTAATAATAACGCAATAGTTTGTACAATATCCGTGAATTCTTCTTATAAATATTTTCTCTGGTAAACCTTTGCTAAATGCCAGCTATATATCTTTATTTTTCAAGTTCGAATTCCCTCTTTTGAGTATCGACTACTTTTGTTATATTATTTCATGATAAACAAAAAATATGAGTTGAAAAACAAGGCGAGAAAACTGATTTATTTTAGTTTCAACTTTTTTACAATTTGCTGATATTTTGTAGCTATTAATAGATAGAATAGATCCTCTAGAAAGGAATCTGATTAATCAAACTATACACATTAATAAAGCCTGTAGATACCTATACAGAACATTCAGGCAATGCAAAAAAAGAAGGTAACAGAATCCACTAAAAGCGTAAAAAATAGAATAAAGGAGAGGGGAAAAAATCTTTAAAAATAATGGAGGGGTGATGAAGGCCAGAGCTTCGAGTGCTCAATCGGCTGGAATAAAGTAGTAAGTCTGTTTCTTGATGGCGAAGGGGAACCGGGACAAATCACCAGACAGCCGAGCGAAAAGGGCACAGCCGAAGTTGAAAGATGAGGGGATGAGAATTGTAATAGATGTTCTCCTCTATTTAGTTCAAGTTCGTGCTTCCTGCAGCCGCCCGGTGTCTGCGGACATGTACGGTGGTCTGCAGGGGTCAAGCCGAGCCGTCAGCTGTGCTGTAACCTCTGCCTGTCTGAGTGAGGTTTCACTACAGTCCTAATCTGTGCTCTGGGTTAGATATACAGGGAGCTCCTGAGGAGGGTGTATGCTCCATGTACAAAATACCAGGACAGCCAAGTGGAACAGTGCAAGCCCTTAGTGATTTTATGAAGTACTCCTCTGCTTAAAGGGGGACAGAGCTGCACAATCTGCAGTGTGCTATGAATCAGTTTCCATCTTTAATAATCAATATTCTGCAGATTTAGTGAGCGCTCAATAATATCCATACTTAGTTCCAAACAAGCAGTATGAAAAACCTGGAGAAATGTGGATTCAGAAATACTTTTATCAAGCAACACATTTGTATTATGTGCTAATCAAACCAATGTTTTCAGGAATGGGATATCACTGTATTGGTGGCATTTTGATAAATCACATACAACAATCATCTTCATTCTTAAAATATTGCAACCATAATAAAAAGGCAAAAGACTACATTTGTTTTGGATGGTAGTCTAGTCAATATTTACCAATCTGTTGGTTTAATATTGTTATACAGGGCTTCGTGATACAGAGTTCTGTGTCTTCAGTCAGCTTGTGCACAGACATGTAATTATTTCCTATTGGTGAAGCGATTTTCTTTCTTTTTCCTGACATGTTTAAAATCACCTGAACAGCAAATGGTTGTTTCAGGTAAGAGGTATATTAAGCAAATGTCAGCGCTGTGGAAATTCTTGCCATAACGTGTGGATAAATATGTGGATTTGAGACTCCAGCTCACACCCCTCTCCCTCTGATCTCCCTCAGGTGGCCTCCCTTACGAGTTCAAGGTGGTGATCGCCGGCAACCACGAGCTGACCTTTGATAAGGACTTTATGGCCGAGCTGGTCAAGCAGGATTACTACCGATTCCCCTCTGTATCCAAACTCAAACCTGAGGACTTTGACGATGTGCAGACGCTCCTCTCAAACTGTGTTTACCTGCACGACTCGGACGTCACCATAAAGGGATTCCGGATATACGGGGCGCCCTGGTAAGAGCAGCTACCTTCCTTTTTATGCCCTCCATTTAAAAATGCTCATTACTTTCTGCTTTTCATTACCGCCGAGTCGTATTTCTGTTCCGTTGTGTTGCGGATCCCCGAGGTGAAGGTGTGCCTCTGTCAGTGTCTGGCTGCCTTCCAGCTGCCCTCGCTGCAGTAACTCTGCACTCGGCTCTCAAAGAGGGGCCCTTCTTACACGCAGGGTGCTACTTCCAGCTCGCACATTTCTTTATGAGCTCGGGACCTTCGCCTGCTCCCCGGGCTTACGTTACACCTGTGTTTTGACGCGAGGTTAAGTGATACGCGTGGTACTGGGACACCCGGTCAATAGGCTCTCGGGTGTGGAAAAAGTGAAGAGCATGATGGGGGGGGGGATGTTTGGTGGAGGGACGGTGTAAGCAGCATGTATTCAACAGACAGAAGCAGGCGGAGTGTGAAGTGTTTTTACAGAGAAAGAGCTTGTAGTCACGATTGAAGAAAGCTCCTGAGATCACAGCTGCGTTCACTAATGTTCGGTCAAAATGTCATTCTCTACAATGCTTATAATGCTAGAGAACGGTACTCAGTGTTAATGAATATATACTGTATATATATACTATATACTGAATACATTTGGATTGATAAAATAAGACAGAGAAATCACCTTGAATATTGAGAATCTGGGATTAGTTCATGAATAACCGACTAAAACATTCCTTGGTTGTTGCAGCCCTTCATGACATTTCTCACGCATTCTGAACAATGTATATATAGAATGTGATATATATATACTAGGTATTATTATATATATATAGAATGATATATATATATATATATATAGAATGATATATATATATATATATATATATATATATATATATATTATATATATATATAATAAAATGCAAAGCATTTCCTCAAATCAGTGAAGCAAACATTTGCATTTAATGATAAATCTAGAGCAATTGTATTTTCTCTTTATGCCTATCTAATCTATTTATTGACTCTTTTCAGCATAAGTTCTCTGCAGTAGAAAGTATCCAAGACTGGCACTGATGATTTGCTCTCTCTTTGCTCGATTCTCCAGCTTTAGTCCAGTGAAAGAATCCCTGTAGTTCAGTGTGGGCCGTTGTGGCCGTACAGTGTTTGGAGAGTCTCTCAGTGTGCCCTCTGCCCTCTGCTCTGCAGCTGTGTGTTCTGTGGTGTGACCCGTGGAGTGTGTCACTTCCTGTCCGGCTCTGACTCCCTCTGTTCTGTGTACACTGGTTCCCTCACAAGTCAGCTCCAGACCTAAAATAAGTATTTAGGTCAGACCTTCATCCTCCCAGTGGCTATCATTAGCAGGTCTGCAGGAGTATCAGAGGACAGCGACCCGGCATTCAGACATCACAGCAGCAGGAAGGAGAGATTACTTATTGTGTCCTCCATACTTCCTGCTTTCCATCCCTCTGTTTGAAAGAGGAAGGATGCTGCCCCCCTCTCCCTGGTGGGTGTTTAGTGTGAGGGCTGGTAAATATCTGTTGTGACAGCTTGGGGTCTCGTGAGAGGCGGAGAGGACAGCTTGGGTGCCCCCTTCCCCCCCACAATGCCTCCTCAGCTTCCTCACCTCCTTCACACCCATATGCCATGGTGGCCCGAGGTCTGGCCTGCTGGTCCAGTGTGAGGTCTCACTTAGCCCTGCAGTGACCCCTCACTTCATCAGCAGCTCAGCATCTCGCCGCCTGGGTGGGCGAGCTCCTCGGAGCCCCTCAGCGCTCTGCTGCTGCAGGACGCGCCGCGGCAGCATCACTCAGGAAATGTAGCGTGTAACTACCAGCTGATAAACGCTGCAGTGGCCTCCTCTGCTGCTGCTGCTGTCCTTCCACACAGGAGACAGGGAGCCGAGCAGTGCTGGCCTACGTGGCTTTGAAACAAGACCTTTACCTTGGTCCTCTCTATGACAACCTTGACTCAGTAAAGGCGCAGCACTTCAGAGCAAATAGATCCTGCGAGAGCCAGCAGAAAGACACAATAGTTTTAGATGATCAAACAAGTGTAAGAAAACACAACTTTAATATTCTCTCCACACCTCCTCTTATATCACACTAAGAATATAAATTGTGTTTTGCATAACATACCAACTGGACTAATTAGTCAGTTTACTTGTACCTCCATAGCAGGAAGGACTATGACATTTTCTCTCGGGCATCATAGGAAGCAGCAGCAGGTTACAGCTGTGCACAAGATGGAGGAAACATCCCGCTCTGATTGACTGATAAGCAACTTCACACCCTTCACCCATCACTGCTCCAGCCATTCTTTTCTTATCAATCCATCATTTAAATGTCTGTTTTTAAAGGTCTTCTGCTGCAGCGCCTTTCAAACATAATCCATGTTTTATTTGCAGCAGGTTTTCTGTACAGCATGTGGCCATTCACAGCAAAACATTTTTAAATACCACTGAGGAACAGTTCATTCAGTACAATTGGACACATATGTGTCTGTGTCCTTGCATCAGGCCTAAAGAAGCACACACAAATGAAACATAGTTTTAGATCAAATAAGTGAAAATCTGCTCTTTCCCACGCTGATAGTTCCAACATTGTATCTTCTGAAACAGAGGAAGCAAAGCCTGTTCTTTACTCCCTTCTTCAGGGACTGAGGCGGATTTGAACCAAGCTCTCTCACACACATAGCTTTTTGGTTAAATATGTGTCCAACAAGTTGCCTCAGTTAATTAATCTCACCAGAGAGTCTGAAAAATTGCCCCAGATGTTGTAAATCTTACACGGTAGAATTTACACGGTAACATTTATCGCTGGGGGAAACATTTAGAGTTGATATTAATAGGAAATCCGGTGACTTTAGGATAGTGAATAGAACTAGATATTTTAAATGACTTATTTTATTATGATCATGTCAAAAGTTGATGTGTTGACCATGTTATTGTCTTTCTGTCTTTTTCAACTATCTCTTGTAAAAAGTGTTGATGTGCAAACAGTCTGCTCTGATTCAGACGAGTAGTTTCTTCAGAAATCAGGTACTGAAACATGAACATAAACATCCTTAATACATTAAGCAGTAGGAAATATCTTTCCATCTTATATCATATAAGATGATGATTATTTTTCCTATAAATCATTTTCAAAATAACAATTCTCACCACTTCTCCCAGGTGATGTCGCCTTGTTGTTTTTTTTGTCTCCCAACACTCTGAATATGAAGGAGATTTGGTTTGAAATGAAACAGATCAGACACAGAAACAGCAGTAAATCATCACAATTGAGAGTGAAACAAGCTTTATTCAGAATATTTGCTTTAAAAAATGGCTTTCTGTACAACTATGACCTGAAGGACAAACCCATTTTGTTAGAGATATTCATTTTCCAATCTTTTCTTTATTGAACAAATCTACCTTTTATAATCCTGTTAGCGGACTCTATACATTTTGAATATAACTCTCTTCTGACCCTTTTCACTTCTGCTTGGAGTGAAAGCAGTGTAGCATGAAAGACACACAACACACACCGTTTAATGACAGATGCTTAACAGACCGAATACCTAAACCTCCTCTTCTCACACACACACACACACACACACACACACACACACACACACACACACACACACACACACACACACACACACACACACACACACACACACACACACACACACACACACACACAGACGCACACACACACTGTGCAAAGATGTCAGGCTTCTGCACCTTGTCAGTCAAGCCTCTCTTAAAAGGTGCTGAAGGTTTTATTCACGTCGTTAACTCTTTCTGCTCCAGGCAACACAATTTCGGAGGAAAGTAAATCTCTTGAGTCCTTTTCTCTGAACTTGAAACCCATTTAATTTATTTATTAATCTTCTTTTTAATCTTCCGTCTTTGATCCACTGCTTTAATGCAAGATGTGAATTTCAGTGTTTTGCCCTTTCGTAATGCTAAAAAGTTAAGTGGCGTTCCAGTGGATCAGTACAGCTTGTGCAAAACACGTCAGGTCTAAAAGTGTAGCTGTTTTTAAAAAGTGTGACCAGGTCTCTACACATTACACACTAAATGGGAATTTATGGTATTGTATCAATATCGTTTTTATTATATATTCCAGTTGACAAATTGTTGGTTGGAAAAAGATTACTTGGAGGTAAATATGTTATCCTAGTTTGTCGTTGGTTGTTGTTTTCTTTAGTGGCCATTTCCATAAAACACACATTACATTATTTTATTTAAATATTTTCTCTGATATAAAAAATTCTTAGCATTTCTAGTTTGTAATTGTTTGTTATAAGCTGCTTAAAGCTAGTGTTAGAACAGGACATTCATAACCTGTTTTTCGCAGAAAACAACATTTATTGCAATTGAACACATTATGAAACCTTTGCCAAATAATAATTCTTGCACATTAGAGCTTGAACTAATTATAGTGTATGCTTTTGAGTGTTTTTTTTCCTTCGCCATAGCGCTGTTCCCAAACACGATACAGACTGCGCATGTTGCTATGTCTTTGTTCACACGCAACTATAGCAAAGCATCCATATTCACGGAGATGATTGTAAGATATTGGAAAACTTGGCACCAGTTTTCAATACCCATCCCTACACTAAGGCAGAATAACTAATTGGCCATCCCAAATATTCCCAAAAATGTGCCCTGTCTAACTTTGTTCTGCTTATTTTTCTTTTCCATCATTGTAAACCAAGTAAGATTTGATATTGGCTTTCAATATCACACTAAACCTGCGGGCCTAAAGACATCATTTTCAGTTATGCGAATCTGGAATGAGCATCTGTCTTTATTTCATAGACTAAATTACAAATCAATTCAAATTAATCATCAAATAATCTCACACACAGACATCAATAATAGAGCGAGTGACCGGTCAGGCGGCTCCCAGATATCCCGCTGGTGTTGCCGTCTCCGATAAGCTCTGCTGACTGAAACAGACCAGAGCAGTAGGAGCAGAGAGGAAAGGCGCTCTGTGGGGATTAACACGTTTTGTGATTCTTGACTTGACTCCCTGGACCAAG